AAAATATAACAAATTATTAAAATTTAAGTACATGTATAAATATATTTTATCATATGAATATGTATCATATGTTACACGTTTTCTTTAACATGATTTACAGATTTAGATATACAAAAATAAATATTAAAACTAAACAAAGTAATAAAAACGAGGAGTACCTTTAATTTAAAAGGTGTTATATAAAAAATTGTGAGCTCGCTTAAATTCCGAAATAATGTTGAAATAATAATTTTAAAATATATTTAGATTTAAGTTTGTGTCAGCAACTAATATCATCTATTATCACATGTATGATGTCATACATGATTAGAACAATTTTACTCGAATGTTCAGATGTGTGTCACAGCAGTAATCCTATTCATTAATAAAATTGATATTCATCAGGAGTTCGTTCGGTTTCCATATTGAATTACGACCTTCGCTATTTCAAGTTGACATGCATAACACGTTGCATTAATTATTCGTGTGTTTTACTTAACGACGGTTTACCATATTCAACAAGGATCTAGGCGTGCCAATTTCTTTTGTGGGATTTGCACAAGAAGTAAGACTTTTAGTATTAAAATGTATTTATTATATATGTATGTTACAATATAAAATACATATATACAAAAATATAATATCAATGTAATATTAAATATATATGAATATAGTATGTATTACATTAGTATTATTTATATTAATATAATATTTGTACCTATGTTATTTACCTTTCTATTTGCTACAATATATTATAATATTTTATTCAATGCAACAGTAGTAAGAATTGTTAATCAATTTAATAAATAAAAAATTATAACAAAGTGGAGATTTATAGCTGTATGAATAATTTAGTAGGAAAAGTTCAAGAATATTTAAACTTATGTATAGGGTCTCCCAGTGTTTCCCATACAGATTTCACATAATCAGACAAATAAACATAATAGACATGAAAAGAAGACTATAGTTTCATGCAGCTATAATTTTAAGTCTATTAATATTTTGTTAAGCAATTAAACAGTTATAATAAAAATGTGAAATTTGAAATAACCGGGAATTTTATTGATTCTGATTTTAAGTTAAATTTATCATAAACTTAATTTCAGTGATCTTCTCCATTTCTTTCATATTAAATTATTATATTTTTAATAATTTTATGCATCTTTGTAATATACCCCTAATAGTATTTTTAATTAAAAAAGATAGTATTCTTGTATATTTCATGTTTTGTATTTTTATTCGAACTTTTTAAGAAAGCATTTATAGATCTTTTACTACATAATATTTTAGTCTTACTTTTATTTATCAAAACTCTTAATGAAGTATTTATATTATGAAAGATATTAATGAAACATTAATGTTATTAATATAATTTAATATATATTAAAAATGTTATTAATGAAATATACATATTATGAAAAACACCCATATATTATACATAACATTAAAATACTATTCTTTAAGTGAACCTTTATTAACATAAGTATAGTAAATACATAATGTAAATTCATTAAAAACCTTATACGAGTCTTTAGAAATGCAATTATTTTGTTTGGAACTTATTTAAAATTTATTATATAAGAAAATATAAGCATTAAATAAAATATTATTTATAATATATAGAAATTTATGCCATAACATTGAAAAGCACTAATTGCGTGGAATTAAGTATCCTTATTGAGATTCTGCTGTATTTGTTTATATTTAAAATAAGTACGAAAATAAGAATATAGAAGAATAAAAGATTACCACATTAGATTGTTTACAATTATAATAATAATATTTGTTGTGGCGTTAAATGTGATATCTTGTACAGTATTGTAATGATATTTTTATACTATTATCATATAATTATTCATTCTATTATTTTATGTTATTATAGTATTATTATACTATATTTATCAAAAATTTGATTTCATTATTAAAAAATATCTAATTTTATGTCTATGTCTAAATCTCATATTATTGTTACTTCTCTTTAAACAGGATTCATTATGTCCTTTTCTTGCTTATTCTTTATGCAAAAAAGCAGAAATAAATACATTTTTTCACATAATATCTGTAAACAGTATTATTCGTGTACACGAAAGGAGGTAACATGTATAACATAAGAATCTAAATATCAAAGAGAAAATACATACATGTAATTCTTCCCCATTACCCAGTTCTTCACGGTCTACAAACACTTGTACCCATATCGAATACTGTTCAAATGCAAATGAATGATTTTTAATTCGTATTATATATACCATTAGGTAATTAATGACGGTTATGTATTTTCATGTGCAACAATACGTGATTCTGGCGTATCTGTTACAATATAATGAATTATCTGTCTTTATCATCTAAAGATTACTTGAATATTCCACTGATGAAACGATTTATTTTTTCTGTTATGTATATTATATTTCGTATTATACGTAATATAAATTTGTAATATTTCGTAATATGTAATATTACGCATATTTTCTAGTGTCAAATGGGCATTATGTGCGTGCATGCCGTCTGCACAATAACAGCTAAGACGAAATGGACGATTGTTAGAAGGAAAGAGAGGTACTTAAAAATTTAGAAGGCAGATTTTTTCAAAAATGTGGCAAAAGTGAATAAATATCGAAGACTTTCGAACTTCAAAATATATATCTATTACATTCAAATAGCGATTTTGAACCAGTATGGAAATTTTTAATTGTGTTGGGACAATTTTTTGAATATTTTATTATTAGGTATTTAGTGTTTATTATATTGTCTTCCATATTTAGAGTTTATTATATACCTTATTTTCGTAGATTAATTAGAATTATACTAATCTTTCTTTTTATTATATTAAGGAAAAAGGAAATATAACCTATAGTAGAACGTAAAATTTTAGTAAGTAACTTATGTTTATCATGGAATAAGAAAAGAATGAATTAAAAATTGCTGCATTAGGGAAAATAACATTTATGTACCAAATATTTGAACCACTAATAAAATTGGCTGCTTCAATTATACAATGTATACAATTTAGCAAGTCAATTAATCAGAAAATTAATCTTTTACATTTACAACCTTACAACAAAATGATGTATAGTAATTAAATAATTAATTTAGAAAGTATAGTGATACCATATCTTTACAGTCATGCTATAAGTAATAACAACAAATGTTATTTATTAAATTATATATAATTTATATTTCATCTTATCTTCTACCATTGTTTATAATATTATTTATAATATGTTTACAATATTCTTTATAAAATATCAACTAGTTACTGCAAGAAGAAGAGAGTGTTTCTGTAATTGAAAATTCTCTTTTCCTAAAGATAACATCTGCCTATTAAATCCAAGAAAATTTCTACTCTATCTAATTTCTCGTGTATTTTGTATTAAGCCTAGTACACACGAGCGGTGCAACATATTGCAATATCGTACCAATAAAAACGTACTATTCCATACTTTTATATTCCCATTAGCGAGATGGTTCACACATGTCCATTGCATCATTAGAAATGTTCAATATTTGAGTCTTCAGATGATAAGTAACAATACTCGATGCTATGTTTGCAAATAAGGTGTCAACAAGTCTAATATCTTGTCCCATCACAATGAAGCTCTTCTCATTAAATTTACCTGTTAGATGACTAAAGAACCACTCTTTATTATATCATAAATTACTCTGCTCACTTTAACTGTATAAATCAAATGATTATAAATTTTAATTAATATGATATTTCTTTGAAACTTTCTTTACAATTTGCACAGTAATTTATCCCTATTTTCTATCAGTTGTTTGCTTTTGTTATAGCTTTCTGCACCACGTATCTTTTTTTTGCATACTATTTTCGTGTCAATGAATTTATCTCGGTAATAAATAAATAAGTTTTCTCTCATAGGAACCCTGTTCGCCCACTGTAATTTGTCCAATGGACATTTAGCGAGTTGAAATAAATAAGTAAATAAATGTGTAAATAGATTAACGAATAAGTAGAAATTTTTTGAGAAGAATATCGTTTTCGAGGCGAAATCAAAAGGACCTTGCATCATTCGTATGCACCGGTTTTAAATGTTTACTCGATGGAGGACACTGTAGTAAGGCTCGATGCAAACGAGTGATGCGACGTCCTTGTTATTTCGCACCGATTTATATTTCTAATACAGGGATCGCACGCTCGTGTGCATTGCATCATTAGGAATATAAAAGTCGCACAGCGTCACCGATGCGAAATCGCAACGTCTCATCGCTCGCGTGCATCGGGCCCAATAAAGGTGAGTTGCCACTGCGCGATAACTTTTGTACAACGTATCATGAAACAAAATTAATCGTTTAATACTTTACTCTTGGAACTGTAATTTAATCAATAATTAAAATAAAAATGATATAAATATTTATCTATTTGTTATTTATTTATAGATATATTTATATCTGTGTTTATATAAAAATATATTTTACGAAATATTTATATATCTATATGTTAACTAATTTTAATTAATTTTCATATTACATGGTAGTTGAAATATGTAAAGAAAATTTTATTTTTGTATGAAACGTTTATAAATATATAACTATATATTATAAATAATCAAGTAGTAAAATCTCTCCACTGTCTTTGTTATTAAATACAATTATAGCTATATGACAATTATTTTTATTTTTTTATCGATATTCCGTATTCGTTCAAAAATGCTTAGTCATGTTTTATAAAAGCAATTCAGTTTTCGGTGTTTTATTTTGGAAGGAAATAAAAATTTCATGTACGTATCTCGAATGAATAGATCATTAAATTGACTGTCATGTAGGAAAGCTTGTCACACTTTTAATATATTCTCTTATATATACACGATATAATGAAACTATGAAGATAAAAAAATTCGTTAAAATGTGGTATAAATAAATTTATAACTTATTTACGTAATATTTTATAACGTTATTGTTAACGCACGAAAAATTCATAATTAATCGACATTTACTATTTATCGTAGTATTAATTGTAGCATTATGGTATTAATTAACGACAAATGTTTCAGAGTGCGACTTACCGTTAATAGGTTTAGGCAGCTTAATATCCACAAAAGCATAGTCGTTGCAGTGGTTACAAAATTACAGTCGAATTATATCACCATGCTGTTGTTTTTTGCTTCTTTCGATTTATCTCTTTTCTTAAATAACGATCACGTATTAATTAATATGGAGCACATATTCCAACGATATTTTCTAAAAAAATTACACGATTTCAGAATTCGATAAGAAGATATAATACCACACTTTTCATTTCACCATACAAATGTTCCTAGCTACATATCCCTTCGTAAATTGCACAAGAAAAGGAATAAATAAAAACTGAAATACGTATTTCGAGCATAGATCATTGAAATATAATCTCGTATAAGAATTGTCTAAAATGGAATGAATAAAAATGTATTGAAGAAAGAAACAATCCTTAATTTTTTGAGAAATTAAGACATAAAAACGTAATGCAATGTTTTACTGCACACTTCGTCCCGATTTTCTTTAATATCTTTTTTATTATTTTAAATAGCTTTCTATCCTGTTAAGTAGCTTTTTGTTATTTATGAATAATGGTGGAAACAAAGCAGGAAAAAGAGATCGGTGTATATGTATATACCACAGTGAATCATCCGCGCGGATATGAACGAAGTGAGCAGAGCAGACGCGATACAGGGACTGAGACGATGTGGATGCTTTGTATTTTCAAAGCTATCGCCCGACCATTCTATAGATCTCCGCTCTTTCCTTTACGATCGTTCCCCTACTTTTTCAAGGAACTGCCGCTGTTTTTCCCGCACAAAGTCATCTTCACCTCATTTTCTATTTAAGGATAATAGCTAATTTCTCATATTCTGCAGCTGGTAGAAAATAAAGAAGTACATTTATCATTCTGAATACCAATATGGCGATTTTGACTGTTTTGTCACTGTCTCTACAAAATTACCAATATTTTCGATTTTTCTAAATTATACATATTTTATAACGTATATTTTGTCATGTTATTGTCATGTACACTGACTCTTGGTGACATTTTAAACCTTTGTAAATTATATATCTTTTATAAACTATATCTTATTATGCATATTATTGTCTCATTTGTTACTGTGTCTATAAAATTAATGACATTTTAGATTTTTTAAATTATCCATATTTTATAATTTACTTTTTATTATTATATATATTATTATATTGCTGATCATTTAGAAATCAAATAAATAAATGAATATGTGTGTATTAATATTCTAGAAAATTTGTTAAAACTAATTAATATGTAATTGTATATGTTGTTTTTTTTAGTTTATTATGAACTTCTAAATATTACAAACGTAAAATTGTTTGTAATTTTGGATATTTCATCGATATAATATTTATATCTGTTACATTTTATGGTTGTAGTCCGTTGCTATTTTCAAAAATATTTTT